CGTTGAAAGAATAGTCCAGGACGAATCTGTGATCTGTAGCCTTCAAAATCCAAAGAAAATGGCCTTTCGTCGCCAAAAAAATTACGAAAATGTCCATCCGAAAAATAAAATTGGCCCAAATCGGTGCTTAATTGACTTATCATCCGTGGAGAATAGTATCAATAGACTTCATTATCGGTGGATATAGGCTCGGCCCAGATTCCGTGATCTGCAGCTCCAGAATCGAAAGAAATGGCATTTCGAAAAATTGCCCGAATCTGTGATGGTACCCCTTTGGAATCTGCCGAAAATGGGTCCGGAATAAATTCGCCCAAAATCCGCACTTAATGGACTTAATCATCGTGAAGAATAGCCTCAGGCCGAATCATGATCTGTAGCCTTCAATATCGAAACAAAAATGGCTTTTCGTCGCCAAAAAAAAAGTACGGAAATGCCATCCGAAAATAAAGTGGCCCAAATCGGTGCATGTTTTTCTATAAATATATATAAGTTTTGTGCACTATAGGGCGGTGATCGACTTTACCATATTAGAGGTACGACCCGTTTGGTTAAATGAAATCCACTTTATGAGTTGTAGCCCGATGATGCTGGTTTGCTTGGTGTTTGGCCATTGGCCCTTATGACCACTGATGCAAGTTTGATCACTGCGCTCGTTGAGCATTGGCGACCCAAGACATCGACTTTCCACTTTCCACTTGTCGTTTGTTGGGGGGTGGGGGGCATAAGATCACGGCTGAGAACTTCTCTCCATGCCCGCAAACTTTGAGAGGGCGTCCAAGATGAGTACAAAAGGTCTCACGACCTGCCACACAACCACGGTGAGCCGGAGCGCAAGAAAAGTTCATGGGCGCGTCAAAAAGATCGCGGTTGTGAACTTCTATTCAATGTTGCAAACTCTTATAAACTTGATAAATGATCTACCCCACTTTTATGAGCTTAAATGGACCTTCATCCGACTACCTTTACCATCTTCACCGATTGATTAAAATGGTAAACTTGTTTCTACTCACTTTTACCTAGTCTTATACACATGGGAGACAAATGTGTGATTTAAGTGTGGGGGACGTTTAGTACACACATTTACAAATGTTTTCATGTATTCATATGCTTAAAGTTTGAAAATTTTAAATGGATTGCATATTTTGCTTGTCTTGTGTGATGATGGTGAAGGATGATGATTGCATGATTATAACTGCTTGGAGACGTGTATGAATTCCCCAAAATTTAAAAAATTTGAGGGCTCCAAGTTGGCTAATTTGCATCATTCCTACTTAGTGTAGTTTGAATTGTTAGATGATTGGGATGATGTGCGTTATAGGGAGTAGTGTAGCACCACAAGGCTTATTGGTGTATGAGGAATTTTACTTAAATTTCCTCTTGATTGTGTTGATATTGTTTACTATCTAGACTATGACATGTGTACGGGACTCTCTCCTCAAATTTTGAACTCCAAAAATGTTTGCAAAAATGTTGTTAGAAACAAAGATTTCCAACGGTTTAGAATTGGGAAATTAGACTTATCAACTAGGGATTGGGAATTGGGTATAATTTAGGGAAGAGGAAGAGGAAGAGGGAAGGGGTCGGCGGCTGTCGTCTCTTGGAAAGGGGAGAGAGGACGCAGGGAGAGAGGAGAGAGAGAGAGATAGGTTTAGGAATTGTATTTCTGTAATTGCTTGCCTCTAATCTCACTGATTCCAGAATATATATTCCCACTAATTACTTCCTCCTACTTTTACTAATTCGACTTATCAAAAGACCCCCCAACTTATTCCCAAATTTCCCAAATAGTACTAATTCGTAAACAATGGTAAATAATCCGAAAACAATAAAATGACAAATAATTATGTTTCTAACAAATGTGCTCAAGTTTGAACAAATCTTTTGAAAAATGAGTGTTCTCGTGTGAGAGGCAACCAGGCATAGTCTTTGAGTTATGCCGTCAAAGGACTTCTCTCGGTCAAGAGTGCCATTCAGGATGTGTCTGGAGACCTCATTCTCCTTACACAGCTCTTCCTCACATATTGTATGAGAAGAGATAGTGTGCCTCTACGCAAGTCGAGAGATCTTGGCTCTTGTTTGTACCTCACATGTGTGGCAACCCATCTTTCACTGAGACGGGAGAGTAGGCTGAGAATTGGTGCTTGAGAGATCGAACTAGCGTCCAATGCTTCACCTTTAACACTATTCCACCCTCTCAACCATCACTTTCCCCACATGAGGCTTTAACAGAGAAGTCAATGTATTTTTGCACTTAGCCACAAGGGAGAGACGCCTTGTTTGAAAAATTGCAAAGTGTGGTGCCATGTTCGGGAAAGTTAAGTTGAGGCTCAAAGTTTGAGTTCTCTTTTGAAAGAAAAAGTAGGAGCACCACCAATGAGTCCATTGCTTTTCACATGTTTTCTTCAGAGTCCCACGGTGCACACTTGAAATGTCTAAACCTCTTTAGTAGACATGGTCCTCATCCGAGAGTCTGTGTTGTCATTTAGAGATGTAAATAACATTTTCTCGACTATGATTGTCTTTGAAAGTGCTACCGATTAACTATAAAGCATACCATTGTGATAGTCTATCAAGTTGTACTGATTTGAGTTAGGTTTGCTTAGGAATAAGAAAACGCTTAAGTGTGGGGGAGTTTATAACACCTAAAATTGGTGTTATTTAGCCCTCATTACATAGGCGTTTTCATGCAATAATCATCATCTTTGGCTAGTTGAGATTGATTTCGTGCTATAATTGCTTCCTATTGTCAAAATCCTAAGGCCCTGTTTACTTTCATTTCTGTTTCCTGTTTTTTAGAAAACAGATGTTGAAAACAGGTGAAAACAACATTTCGTCGTTTCCGAAAACAGCAGGAAGTTGCCACTTTCTGTTTTCATAGTTGGAAACGAATGGAAAACAGAATGAAAAGTAAACAAGTTTTCTCGTTTCAGTTGCCAAATTTATGACATGAAAACAGAAAACAGGAAACGAAAATGGAAGTGAACAGGGCCTAAGATTTAGCATGTCTTTATCAGTACTTGGCCATTTGGCATGAAATTGTTAATTGTAATCCTTTTCTAGGCTAGGTTGCATTTTCTATCTTAATTTCAGGTCCTAGTACGATAAGGAAGAGGCACACCAAGTTTCGTGCCAACTAGAGGTCGTTTGAGGGGTGAAAACAAGGTGAAAAATAAGGCCTTCCAAGTTCCAAAGTTCACGGCCAGTAACTTCTCCCCATGCCCGGAAACTTTGAGAGGACGTCCAAGATGAGTATAGAAGGTATCATGACCCGCCATGTGGACACAACGAGCTGGATTATAAGAAAAGTTTACAGGCGCGTCAAAAAGATTGTGGCTGCGAACTTTCCCCATGAGTTCACCACCTGACGACAAGAGTTTCCGGTCGCAAACTCTTGTCCCAAGGTTGCGAGCTTCTCCTTCCCAAGAGTTTGCACCTCCTTTCAAAGTTCACGGTTGCGGACTCTTACATTGAGGCTGCGATCTTCCCCTTCCCATCAAAAGTTCACAACCTCTTGTCAAAGTTCACGGCCGCAAACTTTAGGCTGCAAACTTTGAGTTGTGAGAGTCTACAAATAGAAGGGGGTTGTTTTGAGCAAAGGGGGCATCCTAGAGAGAGAAACAAAGTATGAGAAGATGTAGAGTCAGAGTGACGAGCTTGTAGAGGTTTCTAGTGATTTCTTCTTCATCCTAACCCAAAAACATCCAAGATTCAAGAAAGGTGATCAAAGCAAGAAGGAGAAGAAGGATCTAGCCATGGATTTGTTATATTCTTCCCATTTTTACACTCTTTCTCTCTCTCTCTATCTCTATGTTTTAGCTTCTCTTGTTGTTTAGGAAGATGAACCCTAGCTTATAGATTGGTTATGGGTCATGTGTAAGGATGATTGTGAACTTATATATCTATGTCTAATTGATGTTTATTCATGTTAATCTCTTGCTTTAGTGTGAGTGATCTTTGCTTGTTCTTGACCTAGGAGAGAGAAACACCCTCTTAGGCCAAAGTTAGGGCATACATCAATTAGTGTGGGATTGTTTATGTCCCATTTGTCATTTGGTTGCAACTTAGATGATATGGAATCCATCATTATCTTACATATGAATCTACGACATGTTTATGTTTAATTAGAGTTCTTAATGCTTCTAATTAGGGATGTAGATGTATGTTGAATTCCCCTTACCCTGCTTAGATGAGCTAGAGGTCTAACTAGAGGAAGAGGTGACCATCCCCCATTGATGAATGATTATAGTGAAACTAAATTGAGATTTAGAGGATTATGAGTGATTTAATAATATTGAAGTATAAGTTTAGTCCATTGTACATAATACTCCACTATTTATATAAAAAAAATCAATATTATATATTCAATTTGAACCACCTTTTATTGTTTGTAGTATCGCATTATTTAATTTAGTATATGGTTATACTAATACCATATCGAAACATTTCAGATTGAGGTTGATTTTGGTCATTCTTTAGCATTCGAGATATCAATAAACTAATTTCTCATAGTCATAGCATTTAATTAATCATGAATCTTGAATTTGAGCATTCAGTGAACTAACATAGAACATATCTACACTAATATAACCACTTATTTATGATGGCAAATGGGTGGGACAGGGCGAGTCGACCGACTCTTACACGTTATTTGAAAAAATACACGAAAAACATACTTTTTATGCTAAACACTTTATGAATAAAAAATAGTAATATAGAATTGGTAATTAAGTCTAACCAGTTGAAAGATCAACTCTAACTAGTTAAAGAAAAGTAAAAGAGGATAAATATGAATAGAAATGAAAATAAAATGGGCAAAGAAAGAGGCAGGGCAGTACGGGTGGAAAGTATATACGAATACACTACCCCACGTTACTACGTTTGCGGATAAGCTAATACTCGTCTCATCACGAATAATACTTGGCAAGGCGGGTTTAAATAGTCATCCTTCCCCTTATGAATTGAGAAAGGGCAAACTTGCCCAATCAACAGCAGAAAAAACGTGGGAGAAAGGGGGGAAAAACCTTTAATATAGTACTTGCGAAAGGGGGCACTTGCATAATCTATAATGCATCATCTACACCCTAACAAATCCCTTTTACACACTTGTGCTATTTATATACTAATTACTAAGTTTAAGTTCATGAGACTTTTACTATTAGGCAACAAACCAACAAATCTACTTATAAATTGACCTCCAAGTAAAATGAAAACCATAATATAAAAAAACCAGAGGGATCGGGAAAACAAGACCGATGATAAAAATATGACAAATCTGACGATCTAGGAGGAGAAAGGGCTGTCTTTGTTTTAAATGCATTACCATCCTGGCCCTATAACAATGGCAGACAATACAAACTACAAAGGCATTTCTTGACCAGCTGAGGGGGTCTTAGACGAGCAAGCGCTCAATATTTCACCAAAGCGAGCCACTGGCTATCTTACCCCTTACCATCCATCTTCCTTCTTTAACTACAACACCTATGACTTGAGTGAGAGCTATCTTGCAGGATCTAGGGCTTCTTCCTTACAGGGATAACACTCTAGTCATCAATCTACTTGCGGTTAGGTTTCAGAGAAAACTCCATCCTGGAACTTCTTGCGCAATGCCTCTGCTGCTGATTCAATCCTTGCTTCCTCCTGACACCCATATTCAAACAAAACTCGGGTAAGTGTTTGGACAAGCAATGCAAAATAGAAGGGCAACTAGGAAAGAGATTCATTCAGCAGTGTACTCCACTAACCTTGCCTTCAAAGCTGATCACAAGGGGGCCTGCTCTGGACTTTCGATAACACACTTGATATTGCAGTGTAGAGTAAAATGATCAGACCGACATGAAAAACTGAAAGGGCAGCAAAGGAATAAAAAGAGCCTGAAAGTTTCTCTTTACCAATATTCAGGTCTGGGTACTGCATGCAAAGTTTCGATAATGATTGGGCAATTTCGACCTACAATATCCAAGAAAAGGGAAACCAGTTCAATATGGAAAATGAAAATATCACAAGAACGAAAGACATGACTATTAATTATCATGCGTACATCTGAAAGATGGGTGGTTAAGCTCTTTGATTCATATGGTTCCATCAATGTCAATACAGACTTTGTGAAATCAACCAAACACTCCCATTCCTTTTCCAGCTCGGTTGGATTGGTTGCAGTCAGCAGGACTACATTCTGACACTTGATCTACAATCAGGCAGGCAATCATTAGATAAAAACTATTGCCTGTCATTTATTGAATTTATGCTCTTCTGTATTTCTAAGGACATACCAAAGGCACCGACAGGTTTTCATGGTGCAATAGTTCAGTGATTCCTTCAGGCAGCAGAGCCATCTGAAGTCAAAAAAGTCCCAAAAGGATTACATAAATGCATAAGCGAACCCTTAATACTCTAAAAAGCATAACAATAACAGTAATAATAACGAAGCTCATAATGCATAAAGTAGGAAGAAAGGTGGCAGGAAATCGAAAATCATTCATTAAGAAATTGTGGCAGCATTGTGCTTCTTTCTGAATTGACAGTCTCTAGAAGGGGATTGGATGTCTCCCACTGGGATATATGGCCGTATCAAGTTCAGGTATGGTTGACATGGATATAAATACATGCCAGACTGAAATTCTTTTCACATAAACAGCGAGAAGCTTTTTTCTCTTCCTGCCATTTTGATACTAAATGGAGCGAACCTGCAACTAGAAAGACAACATACGGCAAGACCGTTTGTATTCTTTTTGTACCATTTCTATGACTACATACTACATGTTGTGCGCTTAGGTTCCAATGAAAGGGTGTCAGGGTGATGTAAATTCAAATTTTACATAATGGAACATATTATCCGCTACCACTTATAATCAACTGTTATTTCTATTTTCTTCTTTTGGATGGAAATAATCAACTGTTATTCATTCTATAGTTATGCTCTAAGAAAATCTACATTCACATTGACCATAATATGTAAAAATGGACAGCAATTGAAGAATATTTTACTAAAAAAAAACCATCTTCCACCACAGATGACTTTGGTTGACATGAACTACTGGGTCCGACCTTACTAGAAACATAAAATGAGTGGGCTTCTCTATCTCTCTCCCCTCTCTCTCCAGAAGCTTAAGGAGCTCAGTACACAACTGTTGAAAACATGAATATTATCTTACCTCATTGCGGTCACCAGTGAAATGTTTGCCTATTACATGCCTTAGGTACTCTTCAAACTCTTCGTCAGGAGCCTACATTGACCAAAAACCTTCAAATACTGAATGCAATATTAAGTTTCAAAAGAACTCATGTTTCAACATGCAATGAAAGTAGCAGAAGCACTGGACCCTTTTCAATTCAATATGAAATGAAAAAAACACAAATATAAAGAGTCATACGCACCAGGCGGACCCCAAAAGCCTTGGCAACACCTGCTGAGGTAACATCAGAATGCAAGGGGCCCACACCACCATATATGAATATCTACAAGCCATTTAGTATGGTTGGCATTAATACCTAGCAAGCCTTGAGAACTATGTAAAAATGCTATCGCGCTTGGAGCAAAATCTATGGCCCTACCAGGTCATTTGAAGATTTCTGCCTTTCAACTTCTTCAGCAACAGAATCAATCTGAGATCAGGAAAAGTCGCATCCAATGAACACTAAGAAGGAGGCAATTCATTTTTATGAATTGGATTCACATGCCCGCAGTGGTATTAGTTAAGGGATATAAAGTTCACCATTTATCACCCCCAGTGCTTACATTTCTTATACTGTGGACTCTTCCACACACACAAAAATAAAGTTTCATATTCTAACTCTACAACAGCAGCAACAGTACTTTGACAAAGCCGTACTACTTACATCATTCCGAACTACAGTCGTTTGTGATACTGACCAACCAATTGAACGGAGCTTTCGGCACAACAAAGGTCCCAATTCATCCTGAACAGCACCAGATCTGAGCTATGGATCAGATAAGAATGCAAGAAATTCAACAACAACAGCTGGAAAATTGACGAGATATAACATACATCAGCATGGTGCATGGAAAACTCTCAGTTACCACCACATGCTAAGCTTTGTGAAGTTGGACAATCGGACCATGATAGATGAACAAAAATGGGGCACCTCAAGGTGATTGTAATGCGGATAAAGAGATGAAAGGCATAGCATATAAAAGAGGGGACTTACAGAATCTCATCCCCTACGGCAATAGCCGATCCTGTGCGCATTCTCTTTACTTGGGACTCTGGATCATCCAGGCCATCTTCGGCAACTGGAGAACTTTGGGATATAGGAGAACATTTCTTCACCCTTCCTGCTCTTTCTGATCTTCCATCAGAAAGCAAATATGCAGGTTTGAATTTTTCCTTATGTCCGGAAGAGTCGCTGATACAAAGCAACGAGTTTGGAGTTGTATCGTGTATGCTTCCAATTGAAGTATACCTGTTGGTAAAAGAAATCGGTAATCGGATCAACCTGAGAAATACTAAGTAGTAAGGTAAGCACTTCAGGAACATAAAGAAAGTAAATACCCTTGGTCGTAAAGACTGCAATACTGGACCTTGCATGTCAAAAGAAATGCCCAAACATCCCTGCCAACAGACAGAACAAGTCAAAATCCTGACTGGATGAAATCGCAAGTGATCAAGATTTTTGAATGATATAGCCCCAAACACAACAGAACAGTAGTAGGGATAATCAATCCCGGGTTGCAACTAGGCAGCAAATGCATTATCCATTAATATTAAACATAAGTTGAATGCAGATTCAACAAGAATCAAGGCAATAATATAGTGAATTAACTTCAGACTTAAAGATTTCGAAAGAATCATCAGGAGAAAATAAGACATCTGAGTGTTCCTGAAAGAGGATTTGAACCTGCTCTTCCCCAAAAGATTCAAAGAAACCACACTTGAAACAACCTAATTGAGAAGTCTGGGTTTTAATCAGCATTGATATTAGTTTTCTAACATCGGTATAAAACGCCTAATGAAGAATAACATTAATTGGGAAATGAAAGCAATATTCAAATGAGGATAAGCAATTGGATACACCATATAGTACAAGCTTAAACCTGTAAGACCAATCCAAGATAGGATTAACTCGCATAAAAGGGGGCCATCCAGGTGAACTGGGGGAGAACTGTTCTTGTCCGACCTGCAGGTGAGAAGAAAAAATCATAGCCAATAGATTTCTGATATGATATCCAGCGGCCCAAACAGAAATATATGGAGTTAAGGAAATTTATGAACTTGATAACTGAACTGAGACAAAAGCTTCAACATACCGCAGTTGGATCACCAATTCGGACACCAAGGAAAATTGCTCGAATTGGATTTGCTTTAAAGAGATTTTCCAAACCAGACTTGAAATCTGAGCGTATGATATCCAGTTGCAAGCCATATCTGAATATGTAAACAAATCGATTTTGAATGCTGAATGTTTCAAGTTGATGAATATTGTGATCAATACTTTAGCCAACTAATAGTTAAACAATGGTGGCACAAGTCCATTAAGAAAAAGATGTACTGAATAACAAGAGGTTTCTCACCTTGAAGCTGCGTCATAGGTGAACGTGTTAATTTCTGGAAAAGCTGAAGGACTCTCAAAATATATTGTTCTCAATGGGAAACTAGTCAATCCCCCATTTGAACAACTTTGTTCACCCTTATGTAAGAAGTAGCCAGCCCTAAGTAGGTGCAACAGAACCTGCAATCCAAGTCGAGCGTTAGAACGAACAAGATAATAGACAACTGCTGAATAACTCATAAACCCATAAAGGAAACCTACAGTTGAATCTTTCCCTCCATTGAAGCTTAAGGCGACCTCTTCGATCCTGTTTAGGAAAACAATTTCAGTTCATGCTGGACCCACATACGTATACTACTAAATAAGAAACAGAGATTAGTTTCACTGAAGAAAACATTAAATTGCACTTAAGCCTCAAAGAGAATTCTAACTTAAATAGCTATCAACCATGAAACAGCTAAAACATCCAAGAGAAGCTGGGGAATCAGAGAAGATTCTCGGGGCAGTGTCAGGCAACAAAGGCTCTCAGATCTCCCTGCCAAATTGTGAAACACATAGTATGCGACCTCAAGATGGCATCCAATTGGAGTAATTAACAATTTTAAAAGTTGGTTTTATGAATTCAAAAAGTTTCATGAAAGAACATCTATGACAAATTTAGTTATACCAACCGACTTTTGGCGCAGAGACTTACAAGAACGGAACTAGCAGCCACTGAACGTAACATTTAATTTGTTTACCTATTATAAAAGAATCCCAAATTGGAACTTATTTTACCATTTGTAACACCAGAAAAGGCGTGACACAAGGCATATATAGAGCAGGAAGAAACCTGTTACCATCTATAACGTACAAAAAAGAGCGATAGATCCCAACGATCTTTGTCAGAAAGAATTAAACACAAGGATCAGAATGTACTTTGGAAAGGAACGAGTCAAGTTCTTGTTAGTCATATCTAAAGTAAGCAAAGATTCTTTCATGCAACTAGCTTTGTTGTTAATTTCTCTGAAATAGAAATGAGGAACTGACCCTAATAATGATATTTCCTTTGCCTGCATGTTGCATTGGACCGAAGCATTGGGAAAAGCAGAAAATCTTTCGCAGGCATGTATTTCAAGTGACCAGAAGTCTCAAGTTATCTACAGTCAACTAACTCTGCTAGTATAAATGCCAAACTGAACTTATCAAACCGATGTGCTGGATGTAGCATGCTACAAATGAGCTGCAGCAATGAGCATTCAATTTGAGATGTAGATCATGCAAGGCATATACTGGACAAAACTGCATTCCTCGTGACTTTTCTACCCTGTAATTTAGCATAACATATCTATTTCCTTTATCTACCGATGAGCATTTAAGCATTCCGTGTTTTTTCTTCCCACTACTATGAATTAAGTCCTTACTCTAGCCATTGGACCATAAAATTCGGAAACGGGAGAAATCAAATCAGTGAATGGAAAATGCTTGACTCATTTGCAGCGGAAACACAGAAAACCACAAACAACAATCAGTACCGAGAATGTAAGCTGGAGAAACTCACGAGTATAGAGCCAGAGCTCTTTGAATAACATAGATGGCGTTGTTATACTTGGTCTTGAGCCTCATGTCATCGCTCCCTCTGATTGCTTGATCGACCTCCATCTTCCCTAAAAGGACATCAATTTTACAATCAAGCATGCAAAACAAGCAAATGGGTCTTGAAAAGAAAGGAATTTGAAGCAGGGGCAAAGCGCGGAGCAAGTGATCTGGAAAACCCAAGACTTGCACTGAGTTTTTTTCGGAATGGGTAATCAAAGATTCGTCTTATTTCCGATTGTTAGCATACTAGATACTGAATTCAGAGCTGAAATCCACCTGACTGGAGTGGACTGATTCCAAAGCCGTCAGTCAATAGGGAGCTCCGAGCAAATTAAGTCGTCTTTCGGCCGCAGGATGAAAGAAAGATAACACAGTGGAGAGAGCCGATAAGGGAGAGGAGCAGCGATGAATGCCACAGATTGTTTATCTAAGAGCGGATTCGGCGGGCGGGGGAGGGCGAAGCTGACCCAGAAAATCCAAACATGGCGTTAGGCTTTATTCGCAGCGTGGAATTGGCTGTGTTTGATACATACAGCTTCCGGCTGCACAAACGCTAAACAGACCAATTCTGTTCGAAACGGAAACTCTTGTGTTGAATGGCCCAAAAGCTAATGCTTTTCACTAATAATATTCTCTTGGATTATTCGACAAAATCCTTTTTTGGCTGCCCACTTCCCTTCTTTCTCCACCAAAAATGCGTGCAATTGAGAAGTATCGGGGTTTTTTTTTTTTTTTTTTTTTACAAAGGGAATACTTGCATTGCACTTTGAATGATCAATTACAAGAGAACCAACAAAGCAAACTAAAAATAGAACAAGGACAGAAAAACAAAAGCACATAGATGCTCAATCTGAGCTTCAGAAATACAACAAGAAGAGCACAAAACTCAGAAGGAGTCATCCAATAAAGGATCTGAAACACTTGAACCAGAAGCAGTAAACACTGAAAGCTCTCTTGCAATCAAAACAAACGAAGTAGCACCAAGCGCAATCAGCTCGTCCGATCCGACCGAGTCCATGACGATTGAACACAATGTCATTAGCCGCCTCCTGGGAGTCACTCAAAGACGCTCAACACAGTGAATCACGGGTGAGAGATTACATGGCGGTGGACAGAGATGAGGATCGAAATGCTCCGAGCTGAAGAGGCAGGGGAAGACGAGGCTCCAAGACTTGGTCAAGGGAAGCAGAAGAACCCAGATCCACAGATCAAAGAACTGAACCCACGAGCAGCAAGGCTAGACTTTGCAATCCATCCTCCGTCGGTCACCTAGATGCAGAACAGCCACCTGGAAAGAACGAAGGGGAAAACCAGAGAATCGATTCACCACAAAAGCTGATAAACCGACCATCATGAGAAAAGACCCAAGATGCATAACCCAGCCCCAAAGGAGAGCAAATCCCAACAAAAAACCCTAGAACAGGGGAGCGAAATGCCAAGAATGGCTTGAAAAGCTTGAAAGCTGGAAAAGCAGAGTGAAAAACATCAAAATCAAAGACAAGGAAGCAGGAAGAAAGGAAAGAGGATGGGCTACCGCCGGTCACCAAGAGATGCTGGCGGCAGCCCTGGGGAGCTTCACGGAGAGGGGAAAGGTAGAGAGGGATGAGAGCAAATTTTGAAATAAAGTTAGAGAGAGAGGGGTTAAAAAATCTTTAGAAGTATCGGTTCGATGTCAGTAACACCCAACCAATGCGGCCTCTTGACTGTTTATCACCTCAATATTCCCACGATCCTACTTTTCCTAAATTATGAGAGGTCCAGGATGAGTAAGTGTTTATACCTAAAATTAATTTGGCTTTAAACGGTGTTGCAAGATTAGTGACGGCGCGAGCTAAACAATATCGTAGTGGAGAGCGATGTTGCAATTGGGAATTCAGCGGTGTTGTGAGTTCGACAATACCGCGAAACCCAATGATGCCGCAAGTTTAGCAACGACTTTGACAATGGAGCTAAACTGAATTCAACAAGGCCGCGAGTTAAACTATGTTGCAAGGTCAACGGTATTGCATATTGAGCTAAGCAAATTTGACCGTTGAGAAGATTCACCAACCCACTGCTTCCTTCTCTCATGCCTAAGATCATTTTTTTGGGTCAGATTTACCTATTTCTCCCAAAATAGTAAAACATAACGCCCTTTTTCCTTATACTCTATCAACATCATCCAGTTCTCTCTCACTAGCCACCATTGGCCATCACCAATTCACGTCAACTCATTAATCATCACCACTTTCCAACATGAACCTTGAGAATTAGAACACTTAACCTTGAGAAATTATCATTTTAAGTGTTATGTGTCTTTGTGTTATTCATGATTTGACTTATTAATATTACTTCGTGTCTGCTTTTGTATGGACCTTAAAATCCTATGATTAAGATTGTACCCCTATTTTCTATTTTACATAAAATCTCGACATTGACTACATTGCATGAGAGGACTGAAAACTTGATACAGGTTGACCATTTATAAGAATTTAGAACGTGGAAGAAGTGACACAAGCCCGAAGCCAATTTTTCAAGGAAACAAAGTTTCTCAAGTAATGAAAACAAAAACGACCATACCATCCTATCATATTCCTTATCCATGTCCATCTTAAGAGTCGTGAACCCATTCTTACCCACCCTGTTATTTTTTGAATAATGCATGACTTTATTTTCAATAAGGACATTATCAACAATATGCTTTTCCAAGACAAATCAGTTTTGTCCACATAAGATAATCGATAGTAGAAATCATGCTAGTCTCTCAACCAGGATTTTAGCAATCACTTTATATAAAAAAAAAAACTAGTAAAGACTAATAGGTTGAAACTTCTTCATATGTTCCACCTTTTCTACCTTTGGTTTGAGAACCAGGCAAGTATGATTACAAATTTACAATTTTTCAAGAGAGAATTTGTAGGAAAGAATGACTAACTGCGTCAATCACCTATTGCCCCACAATCACCAAACTGCGCCATTTGAAGTTGTTAACACTCTCAATTCATGACAGTGACATGGAATGTCACTTGCACATACACACAATTCCTTATACCACTTATATATCCCAAGTTCAATGCTTTCCTTCTTTGTCCTTAGCTTTTTCTCTCACCTGTCACGTCTATAGTAGTCTTCCTCATTAGAAGTTTGTATGATTATTATCCATAAACCTCTTCGGGAGTCATCTGTTCGATAATTACATAAACAAAGTACAATGAACGATTTGTTAGTTACACCAAAGCTTTATGCCCATTTTGTATGAACGCCTTCTCAACCGATCCAAATAGGCGAAGAGAAACCCCAAAAAATAGATGCATTTTGCAAACGAACAGGAAAAGGGAAAATGTATGACCTTCTACCCGGTAACCTTGTAGCGTGTCGACTCAATATATATATATAACCCATTTTTCTCACTGGCTCAGGATCAGGTCGAAAATATCGTAGTTTAGAGAACATGTGTATCATCATGTTAATGGGATCCGACCAAAGAAGATTCAGCAAAATGAAAGTCCACCCCACCAACCATATCACTGAGAATGCACTGCACACGTCAAAAACTTGTGACAAAATAGGAACGAATTTGTCCACCATGATGTCAACGAGTGAACAGAAAGCCTGGCTCTACTAATGAGTTAGGCAGCACCAACTAAAAATGCATAAAAATTTCCAGTACCATGAAAAGATGAAAAACGTTTTGCACGGGTTTTGCCATGCTTTTTTCTACTCGATTCAGCGATCCTAGTTTATCCACAATTTGCATGATTTTCGAAGTTAGCATTCCATCTCTCATGTATATGCAAAAGGAATCCATGACCATTCTTACATGTTTACTACATGGTTTCACATTTCACGATCTACAAGCTTCAATTGGTTTCACATGTTCAGGAAATATAGAATATGAAAACCTTGACTGTTAAAGCAGTCCGTAATAAGACCCATTGACGTTTACCCTTTTGCGTTTAGTCGTAGAGCCCTTCTTCGAGCCATATGTCAACCAAGAAGTCCACCATCTCCTACAAAGAAGTCATTGATGAGTCACAATTAGAATGATTCAGAGTGACATGACTATGTGTGTGTTGTTGATCAAGGTTTGGGAGAACTTACAGCCAGAGGTATTGGCTGCTGGAAAGGTTCTTGAGAGCATAGCAAGTCTTCATATGTCGTTGTCCAGCTGCAAATAAAAAATTTAAAACAACAAAAGCTTACCATGATTACTAAACTCAAACATTCATGAATGGAGAATTGTGTGAGACTACTAAAATAGCCTCCACCCAGGATAGACATTAGATAACTCTAGGATTATTTTATGTGTAAAATCATTCCAAGAAACAAACAAGTGGGGCTGTTAAATTTTTTGGATTTTGACTTCTCCAACAGCATGTCCCTTGTCTTGCCACTACCAAGGGAAATAAACACCCACTATAATGGCTCAACATTGGAACAACTAAGAATTTGGAAAAGCAAATATCTTTCCCAACTTCAGCAGAAACGGAGAAGAAAAATGGATGCATGTACTGAAGCAATTTTGAGGGGTGATAAAAGTACCTCATAATTTGTTCTCTAGGCATTCTTTTTGACCGTTGAGAAGATTCACCAACCCACTGCTTCCTTCTCTCATGCCAATCAATTTCAGCTGCATCATATTACGTTGATGTGATTAGTCTTAATCAATAAAAAGTAACTAGCAACTCGCATTGCATAATAAATATGGAGCAACATCCACAGTGTTGAATAAATGTTTACATCTCCAATGCCACTTTAGCAGACCACCTTATCAAATAAAAAAAAAACCTTAAACAAAACCTAAATTGGATTTTGAATATTCACATTGAAATTCTTCGAAAATGGTAGTTCATCTGCATGTTATGAAATGTGTCTGTAATTCCTTACTAAGATACTAGGTGAACACACCAATGATGGCACAATGTAAATAACAGAATTAGTCTCTTTAGGTGTCTATGAGAGCATGGTTGAGGGGCACACTATGAAGGCTTAGTTCGGTCAAGGTTAAACAAACTCGAAGGCATAAATCATAGAAGACACATGAATTCTTAGTTCAGAGATCTGTAAGTTATTAGCATTTGTGGTGGTAAAAGCAAAATGTTTTTTTTTATTCCCAAAGTCAAAGCAAGCGAACCTTAGAAATATAATATGTAGATGGTAAGGATTGCTTTGCTAGCCTTTAACTATCCAATACATATACACAAGATCTAGTTTCCGGTAGCAGTGAAAGTACCGTGGTTAACAAACCCAATTTCCTCTGCAGACTTGTCTTTCCTAGGATCATCTGCATTCCCCAAGTGATCCTTCTGATGGGAATGTGGCTTATTGCCATCGGTTTCCATCACCTTTCTACCATTCACCATTTCCCTCAAAACTGCTATCACAGAAATGGTAAGCGACCACGTTAAATGAAAACCCTTCACTCTGGTAATAACGAAGAGGAAAACAAGAGGTCTTGTATGCAAACAGCACCATAGAGCAATAAACTAGACTCCCCTAGAAGAAAAGAAGATATTTTAAACTAATTGGCAGGTCAACTCCATCAATTTAAAAAATCTCTTTACTTTCGAAGTCCACCAAAATCACATGCAATTAATCCCCACTTGAGAGGGAAAATTAAAGAGAAAAAAAGAATCTTCTTTTCGAATAAACAAACAAAACCATGATCTTGATTAAATCCAGGATTCATAAATTTAAAAGAAGAAAAAGAGAACAAAATCTCTTTACCCACATAAAGGGGGAAAACAGGACGACAGGGCTCTTAACCTGTGTACAGTAAATATCCAAACAACGAAGAAGGCAGGAGAATCAAGGCAGCTTTAGCCGCGATTTCAATTTTCCACTCATGTCGAGAGAGCTATTGGTTCAGGGTAAGATTCAGTTCCTACCCCCGTCCGGTTTTGTGCTTTGGTTTCCTTGTGTTCTGCGGAGAAGAGAGAGAGAGAGAGTGATGGTGAAGATTCGGGGATTAGAGTGTTGGTGTGAGAAGGATAGAGAGGAAGCGAGTTGTAAAATTTTCTTTTTCAAAGCCAGGTGTATACAGTAGATGTGAAAATTTGTTTTTAAAAAATTTGTGTGGACATAAAAATTTTAAATCACAATTAATTAGTTCTTTTTATTCAAATTATTTTAAATTTTACCTTAAAACAAAGGGGAAAATATCTAGTGAAGAAAAATGAGGATTAAAAAGAAAAAAAGGAAAATGGGTTAAATCATAGCTTGCCAGCTTGGGACCCAATACTTAATAGGCTGAGGTTAAAGGTTTTGTAGAAATTTTGTTTAACATTGTTATTTCTTATATAAATTCTGAAGTTGTTCTTCACCTAATCAACAGTATCATTTATAGCGGAAACTTATAACTACAATGCCAATTAAAAAATTCATGGCCGTAGTGTGTTTTTCGTTTACTGATGTGGTTGCTTATTTAGGCGGGGTTTTACCCATCTTTTCCTCTCTGTCGTCGACCGCTAGCTGTCTCCCTACCTTTTTCTCTTTCTATCTCGCAGTCAATTCCATATCCCCCATCTACCCTAATCCATTTTTCGTCGGTTCTCTGAAACTATATAGAGGGTTTATCTTGTGAATCAGCCACCCCATTACATCGGCACTGCTACATTGGCAAGTAGATGGTCCGCTCACTACATTCTTACAACTGGATTTTTGGCTCCTCGTCTTCATTTCTTCCTAGATGGCCATCGCTGCGTTCCGTTCACTAAGTTCCAAAACGTATATTTGGGGGCACGTTTGTTCATTTCTTCGTAAAGGGCTAGCGTCTCCTACGACAGTTTGGAATTCTACAGACCGAATTTCAGGAACCTGCACGTTGTTCCCTCGAACAAACTATGAAAGATTTGTTAGAGGATGTTAGGGTGGGCAACTAGAAACGGGTATTAGGGTATACCCATACCCGTCCTTTTTTTAGGGTTATGGGTACCCAAATAACCGTAATTTTTTTTTACAGAATGAGACTTGGGATCAATAAGTTCTACAATGGGTAACCACGGGTTGCCCTTTAATACCCGTTGGATATTACAGGTACACATACTATCCGCCAATTATAAGTTGACTGCTATGAAATGTCGAATCGGCCAGTGAATTCAACAAAGTAACTACATCTCAAGCATCTTCATTCGTAACTAATCAAGTGCCTTCATGAAAAGTTGACAACTAACAAAATTAAGTTTTATACAGCAAAAGGAAAAACTAAATGGCACAACAAATATGTCGTGTAATAATGAAAAAACAACATGCATTAACCAGTATCATATAATTCCATTAAAGCGAGTGTTTTCCTAGCAAGCATGATACCGTTTCCTTCAAAAAGAAGGATGTCCCCAACTTGAAGAACTGCAATTAGAAGATACCAGAGTGACATATTTAAAATTGGTAGATCCAGACTCTAAACGAGATAATTTGCCACTAATTTTCCTTCTTCCTTCTGTCAACAACGATTTACCATCATGTTTGAAATTATAAAGCTTCGACGCCAACCCCTTAGTATCCCTCCAAGCTTGAAGCCCCTTTTTTCTCTCTTCAAGTGCGGCCATTACAGTCGGTCGATGCTTATTTCCCAACTCATGCAATCTTGTTTCATTTACATTTTGGAAACCCATGCTAGCTAATAGTACAAGTTATGAATTACCCGTGGGTACCCGTTATCCATCCCGTTTGGGTAATGGGTACATGTTAAATCGTATGGGTTTGAGACACGTTATGAAATTTCTCTCCAAATAGGACTAGGTACCTGTTTCAAACGGGACGAATACCCAAACTCGTCTCATTGTCCACCCTAAGAAGTTTGTTGTTGTCTCTGCCGCCTCCTCCTATTGACACTAGTCATAGCTGTTCTCAACCACCCACCGTAGTCTTCCCCTGAGATTGGCGTCTCATTCAACCTCATTGGCACCGATCACTTAATTTGCAACGAACACCACCCATAACGAAGTAAGCTCCCTCTGATTCATCTTATTCGTCTCATTCTTTTAGCAATAGTTGTTTAGGTTTCTATGCATTAAGAAATTAATGATTAGAAATATGCCCCTGATGAGAATGTTTTCTTGTGAATTGGGATTGCAATTTTCCCACCAATGTGCCTTTAGGGCTTGTGCAAGCTGGCTAGCTTTTAATCTAAGGAGACTCTTCATTATAGGTAGTCCAAACCATCTACTTGGGTTATCAATCGAGAACTGGACGTCCCTCCCTCGGCTATTGATTTCAACCCAATAGTGAAGGTTATCCCCGTTCTCGAATTTTGCTGAGTCCTTAGATTAGAGTTTATAGGTAATTTGATTTTGCTAATGCCGCATGGTTTCCTAATTCTAAAATGAAATCGAGAGGGCCAAATTTGTTGCTAACTTGATTGTGGGATTACATATGTATGCTAACCCCCCTAACTACTTCTTCTCATTCTGCGTGTTGTGTGTGAAGGGAACTCCTGCTCTAGTTGTTGATTTAGTTCTTAGTTCAAAGCTATACCCACCGTCCATCATCTTCAAGGCCGTCATGTGTGTAATTTGTTGCCTCCTGCCAATTCCATTCATGATGCTGTGGTGTATAGACAATTGTAGCTATCTCCATTTTATTATTGAGTGCGCCATAGAGAAATGGTGTAGAAAAGAACATTGTTGCATGTAAATTGTGAACAAGTTCTTGCATTTGCTTTCATTTTTTACGATTTTATTCAAGAAAAATTTCTCTTACAGATCTTTACATATCACTAATAAGAGAAGAACATGGAACCTGGAGAGATATAACTTTTGATTGATCCCGTGTTACAAAATTGCTCTCTTTTGGTGCTTAAATGATATTATGTGTCGTATGGTTTTGAACATTATATCTTTCAATTTTATTATGTGGAACATATGCAATGAGAAGTGAGGATACCCAACCACCTTCACTGTCATTGGATAATGAACAAAAACATGCACTACCATCTGATCTTTGTGCATGTGTTTCTATTTTCTCATATTGGGATGTGTTTTTCTCAGTTTTCCATCTACATTTTTCTGTTTAAAATCTTTGTTTGGACTTTGAAGTCCCTGAAATTTTTTATGCAAATTTTCCATTACTCACTCATTCTAACCCTTAAAGTTGCATGTCAGAGTTCTATCAAAGGGAAAGAGTTCATTTGGTGATTGTACTTCTATAAACAACGGCAGGGGATTGTGAATTAGGGAACATAATAGCAAAACAATAATACTTCCTCTAACTACCTATCTCTTATGTTGGAAAGGTGATAAACAAGAATACTTCCTTTGACTAGTAGTCAAGAAGACTTTCCAGTAGTGTGGGGTTGCTTTCCTGGTTGTAATCTTCAATTGTAAGCCCGAAATTATGTTGCTCCATTTCTTTCATGGTTTTTTCCCTAATATTGGTTGATGATGAGTGTACATAGTCCACATAATAGAGTCCTTATCAATTGAGAATTGTTTGTCATGAGAAGGGTTTCACTTTCTGTGATGCATGTTCATAATGACTTATTTTCATAGACATTGTATACTCCATAACTTGACAAGCATTTTCCTTTGGTATGAAGATTGATTGTGCATATATACCATGGAAGCAACTCTCATGTGGTCCTTATGGACTTTTGATATGGATTTTTTTTTTGTGATGATGTTGTTGCCTTTGTATACTAACTTAGGCGACTGATGTTTAGAGTTCCTTATTTTGTATTCTAACACAGGGTACTCCACGTCTTCACTTCTAGGGCCAACAAATATGGACAATCCATATGTCATCCCGCGCGTGTAGAGACCCGCCACAATATCTTAGTACTCTACTTCAAGGCGATATACCATAAGCGCACCACTTTCATACAAACATTAGAGCCTATAATGGGTTCTTCTTCTTTGTTTCACTTGGAGGTAAAGTCAATCACTCTAATAATGATGGTCGTGGCGTTTTTGTTTATTCAATTGGTGAATATTTAGTTCCTGGTGATGGAGATGGTCCAAAATTTGCACAGTTGTACATTCATGATTCTGATAACGAGGTCCAAAATCATATGAACTTTTACTCCACTGACCCTGACAAGAATCCATTACATCAGTCTATTGTTGAAGGTCTCCAACATATGTTTGATGTTAATAATATCCTGGTATGTACGTTTCATTCTGCACGATATAAGATACACCACTCTAGTGTTCAGGAACTTCAACTAAAGCTATTGGCTAAGCATGAAATTAATAATAGAGAATATGATTTGCCTTTTGAAAGAGAGATTACAACATTGATTGTGGATGAAACAAGAGATGAATAATTTTCTCTAGATATTATTGTTCAACGAAAGGGTTCAAAACTGGAAAGAATCAGCCTATACCATCCCAGTCTAATGTCGTTATAGTATTCAATTTTATTCTCATATGGTGAGGATGATTGGCATTCCTGTATTAGCTATAGTCATAGTATCTTTAATATTGGTGTTGGGGATAAAATGATAACGCAATGTGATTTCTATACATATTATCTCCAAACACGGCTTCAGGAGTTGAATTCCCTATTACTATCTGGAAAATTGTTTCAACAATATGTGGTGAATGTATTTGTGTTAATTGAGGCTGAATGCTTAGACTGGATGCATTCCCCTCAATCCACGCTAAGAGGCCACTACTACAAGGATTTGTTAAATTCTTATTTGCGATAAATCCTTTATGGGAAGCCAATCATTTTAGGTGCATAACATACTGGTAGTTCAAGATACAAGTATGAAAATTTTCAAGATGTGATGAATATTTGCAAATGGTTGGGTTATCCTGATTTGTTTATAAAATTCACATGCAATTCTAACTAGCTTGAGATTCAACTAATGGTTGATTTGATTAGAATGTACACTGGCAAATATCCTGACTGAGCTGATGTTACCACAAGAATTTTCAAAATCAAGCTTAATGAGTTTATGTTTGAGATTCTCGAGAAAAAAATATTTAGGACAATCAATGCATTTATGTGTGCTTATTCATTTGATGTTTAGCTATTAATGTTGATTTATTACTCTATTTACTCATCAAACTAATAGTTGG